AGAGAGAGAGAGGAGCTGACAGAGAGAGAGTGGAGCTGACAGAGAGAGAGAGTGGAGCTGACAGAGAGAGAGAGAGAGAGGAGCTGACAGAGAGAGAAAGAGTGGAGCTGACAGAGAGAGAGAGAGAGGACCTGACAGAGAGAGAGAGAGAGAGTGGAGCTGACAGAGAGAGCGGAGCTGACAGAGAGAGTGGAGCTGACAGAGAGAGAGGGCGGAGCTGAGAGAGGGGCAGGGATATGGAACCCGTGAGCTCTTACTGGCCAGGTTACCACAGCCCTGATGCCCAAGCTAACCCTGGCCCTGGCCGCAGCAGGATTAGGATGCACATCATACTTACCTCTTTGCAGCATCAGGAGATTTAGCTACAATGACGGCATTTCTGTAATTTGGAATCTAGATTTGGAGGAAAAATAAAAATACTGAAGCGTTATTGAAAATAAAAATAAAATAACCACCTAAATCTGGATAGAGGTCTAAGACTTTTCGTCTAGCAATGTGCTGGAGTTCACAAGGACACCCCGTATTATCAGTTCATCGATGGAAAGCTCGGCTACAGCAAGGTAACAGAAACGTCACACGCTTCATTCTAGAACCACGAGCATAAAAGCGCTTAGAAGGAAATGTACTTAATTTCTAACGTCTCTGAACACATGGCCCTCCGTAACTAGACGCTGAGCCTGTCTGGCTGTGGCGGGCACAGGCTCAGGGAAAGAGAGCTCTTGGGCAACTGTGCCTTCGATCCTGAGATCTGACGCCAGGAAAGCTAACTAGCATGTCTTTGAGGACACGGAGGCGGCTGCGGCTCCTCACTTCTTCCTGGATATACTGAAGCAGGAAAGGTGAGGCTCTAAGGTTGTCCACGGGAAAGCTGAAAAAGCCTTGTATCTCCTTTTGGTGAAGATCCATAGTGATAATGTGAGTTAGACCTGAAATTTTAAAACAAAAAATTACAAAGTTCTCCCCTACAAGTTAATGGCCACAGTGGACGCAAACTAGATGCTCAACCCTGCTCCTGTCAGAGGACTGAAGGCAGGGGCACTGTGAACTAGGGGCACAAACTCTACTGTCAGGCTTCACAGCACAGAGTAGAGTGTCCATGCTAATGCCAAGGAGCCAGGGATGAAGAACCACAGCCGACAGGGGTGTGCCTTTGGCACTGCATCTGCGCAGTCAAGTGAAAAGCCAGACAGAGCCGAAGTATGAATGAGGAGTAAATGTGGAGCGGCAGTAGGGGTAAAACAGGAGGGCCTCCATCAGAGGATATAAAATCTCTAGAGACTATGGCTACCTCAGAAAGGAACAGCAGCAAAGTAATGTAAGAGACAACTCACAGCACAAGTGTAAGACACTGAGGCGTCCAGTGGAAAGACGGTGTGACAGCATCTCAGAGGAAAGGGACACTATAGAAACACTGCAGGTATTCAAAGGTCACCAATCTGGCAGAGCAGAGAACTAGCACTCTAACAGATGCCAGACGGTAGCTCAGCCACCGTCTGATGCTAACTCACTGTCTATGTCACAGGTCAGCACGCACACACTGCCCTACACGGGGACTAAAGCATGAGCTGCTACACAGAGAGGCAGCAGGAGCTGCGGAGGGACAGTAAAGAAGCACTTAAGCGGATTCTGATCAGTGCACGCTCGGAAGGACGCACCTAACTCAGACAGACAGTGGGTCAGGCCTGACGCTCCAGGTCACAAGAACAACAAGCCTGTCACTAAAAATACAGATGACAAGATGACACAAAGAAACTCAACAAAAACGTATCAGAGAAGACACTGAAGCAGGTCCCTCTAGAGACAGAGCGGACATTAAGAATGTCAGTCCTCAGCCCATATACACCCTTCTAAGCAATGCAAAAGGAAGCAAGAAGTCTTTAGTGAACAGCATGTAAAAGACACAGCTCCCAAAGCAGACGCCGAGGAGAAGCCTGACCTGTGCTGGGGAGAGACTATGTCTCCCGCCGGGACCCAGACCCTCTGTTCACTCACCAGCTTTTGCCAGCATGGATGCCAGGAGCTTGCACACAATGGAGCCCCTCTTCCTCATCTTGCTTTGCTTGCTGTAGGGGAAGTAGGGGATGACGCCGATGATATTCCTGGCGCAGGCAGTCTTCAGTGCATACGCCATGATCAGCAGTTCCATCACAGCCGTGTTCACGTCTCTAAAACAGTAAACACTCGTATCCTGGAGTGAAACCTACGTACTAACAACACTAACAACCAGCAAAGCCCTTGCTTCAGCCACAGCGAGGAAAGTACAGCAGCTCCTCTTTTGCCTGGGTCAGCTACAATCTCCAGATGTGGTCACTCAAACCCAGAGCAGTGACCCTCGCTCTCATCTTTGTCCCATCAGTAACTTGACACTTACTGGCACGCAGCCAGGGTACAGATGCAGGCCAGAGCTGTCATTAACAGACAGCAGCTTGTCCTCCTGGGGAGAAGGTGGAAGGGAGTGGGGAAGTCTAGTAATATCTCACAGCCCCTCACCCCTCCTTTGGCTGAAATACTCCTGACAGACAAGAGAAGGAAACATGACCTGAACGATATCTTAGGAAGGCGGTGCCTGTGGGAGCAGATGCCTCTCTGCAGAGGTGATGGGGTGGATCTTTCTGGAAGATCTGCAGCTCTTGCCCCCACCTCTCTGGCAGATGCCCCTCATTCTCACATACCCTCTCCTCTGGGGGCACCAGGCTTCCCAGATGCAGTTCTAGGACACATAAGTGGGAGTGGGGTCACCCACACTAAAGAAGAAGTGCAAACCACCATCACCCAGCAGGACCGGAGGAGGCCATTTAGTTGGCAAGGTAGTCAGCCCATTCCTCCATGTCTCCCCCTCTGCCTGTGAGACCGGGTCTTTCTACATCGCCCAGCAGACCTGGAGCCTACTGTGCAGACCAGGCTGGCTGCCTGCCTCTCCTGAAGGCATTTTATCTGGGATTGAGCAGCTGCACGGACTTCCTCTTACAGTTTTAGTCAACATAAAACTCATGAAACTCCCAACCTCCTAGTACTCTATCTAACATCTATATTAGAAATAAGACAATCACAAACTCAAGAGACTAGTGAAAGCAAAGCAGTTTTTAACACACAATTCTGTATCTGAGCAAGGCATGGTATGTATGCACACTTTAATTCCAGCATTGGGAGGCGAGGCAAGTGAACTTTGTGAGTTCAAGGCCAGTCTGGTCTACATTCTTGAGTTCTTGAACAACCAAGGATATGTGTTAAAACCCTGTTCCAAAAAGAAAACCCCCAAAACAAGCAAACAAGCAAGTAAGTAAATAGAATAAAAAGAAGAAAACCTTCGTTTTTTTTGGCTTTGCATATATCTTTTCAATTTTTTTAATTAATCATTTAGTTTGTTTACGTTTCTTTTTTTCTTTTTTCTTTTTTCGGTTTTTCGAGACAGGGTTTCTCTGTGTAGCCCTGGCTGTCCTGGAACTCACTTGGTAGACCAGGCTGGCCTCAAACTCAGAAATCCGCCTGCCTCTGCCTCCCAAGTGCTGGGATTAAAGGCGTGCTCCACCACCGCCTGGCTTGTTTACGTTTCAAATGATATCCCCCTTCCCAGTTTCCCCTCCACAATCTCCCCCACTCCCCCTCCCCTTTGCCTCTATGAGGGTACTCCTCCACCCACTCAAGAAAATGTTCTTAGAGGTAGGTACAGAAAGGGACACAGGGGCTGTGTGGTTAAGAGCACTGACTGCTCTTCCAGAGGTCCTGAGTTCAACTCCCAGCAGTCACATGACAGCTTACAACTGTCTACAACTTCTGATCCAGAGGTCAACTCCATCACACATACAGGCAAAACACCAATTTATATAAAACAAAAATAAATAAATTATTAAAAAAAGAAAAGAAAGGGACACAGACATAGAAAAAATGCGAAGATGGCTAACGTGCTAACTTGGCGTAAAACAGTGCTTTTTTCTTTTTCTTTTTTTTAATTCCAATAAAGAGATAGTCCTGTCTCTCTCCCATAGCCTGGGACTCTCTCCCTCCCAGATCTCCCATCAGCTTCTCAGGATGCAGAGTCTCATCCAATGACTCCTCCCGGCTTTCACCCTGGACTCAGCTGTGTCACTGACTACCTGTAACCTCCTGCGATCCAAGACAAGCAGGTACCAACTAACAGCCAAGAAGTGTAACTCGGGTGACTCCCATCAGCTTTCAAGCACACCTCACACTGACAATGACCCCACAACAATCAACAATCTATTTCTTACATCTGTGATAACCACTGTATGAATCTTGATTTAAAAACATCTCTCTGGAAGCCAATGTGGTGGCACATGTCTTTAATCCCAGTACTCAGGAGGCCGAGGCAGGCACATCTCTGTAAGTTCTAGGCCATCCTGGTCTACCCTGTCTCAAGCAAAACAAAACAAAAACAAAACAACAATGTTAAGCTGGATGCACACACAGCACCTGAAGGACAGACAGCAGGTAAATGACATGAAGTCCGAGCTCAGGCTCCACAGCAGACGTCACACACAGCTTTAACCCTGTCAGCCTCGGGGTAAAACGAGCATTAGTTACACTCTACTTGCCACCTGCGTGGCCTCACACCCACTCTCAACACCAAGAGCACTAGAGCTGGAGTTAAGTTTGTAGATTCCAGGAGAGCAGCTACCCGTGTGTTATACACAACAGGCTGATGCCGTGGGTTCTGCAGAGTCCACTAAGGGAAGGAAGGGCTGGACAATAACAAGCGACTTCTGAGAGATCCTAAGTTCAGGATTTACTGATTTCCTACATAAAGATTTTCACATTCCATTTTTCCCTCTTCCCAGTAATCTATACCAAAGAATTCAACACCCACAGTTAAGGATAGCGACACACACTTTTAATCCTGGCTCTCAGGAAGCAGAGGCAGGTCAATTTCTTTGAGTTTGAGGGCAGTCTAGTCTACATAGGGAGCTCCAGGTTGCCAGGGCTATGGAGACCCTGTCTCAAAGATGAGACAGAAAGAATTCAGCATCCTCCTCCCCTCAGCCTCTTTGGTCAGGAGTGAGACTGGAGCCTTTGTTATGTGATTTATCCTCTGCTGAGGCAGCAGACTGAACTCAGGCAGCTATTTTGTGGCTAGCTGGGTTTAGAGGACTTGGTGGGCAGCCTCTGCTGTGTCTGTTAAGAATGTGCCGAGTTCCTCTTGCTGGCTCTTGTAGTCACTGTCTAAGTAGGACAAGCTTAACGTTGTCACCAGCCTTGGAAACACGGCACAATATACATATTAACTGCTTGCACCTGCAAAGCACTGGGACACAGCAATGGCGTAGGATTTACTCCACTCTTCCCCAGCTGATTATCTTCAGCATGGCCCTATGTGGATTCCACTTGATCCTCTATGCAGGTTCCAGAGATTCCTGTCAGATTTGGTAGCTTTTCTCACTGAGCCCTCCTGTCCTCTACATGATATTTTTAAAGAAGACCGTCTAGTATTCATTTACTTTATGTGTAAGAGTGTTTTGCTTGCATGCATGTATGTATGTGCACCACATGTGTGCCTGGTAACCACGGAGGTCAGAAGAGGGTGTCAGATCCCCTAGAACTGGAGTTATGGAAGTGGGTGGGAACCTAGTTCATGTCGTCTGCAAGAACAAGTCCTTTTACACTGAGCTCTCTCCAGCCCCATGTATGCAGGCAGGGCAGGCCTCAACTTCCCTCCACACACTAAGTGTTGGGATTACCGTGCCCAGCCATTGTCTGCAGGCCACACACACAATGACAGCACGAGTACTCCACCTCCCACCTTCCTTCCTCTCCCACCTCTGTCAACTGAAAAGCCATAGGAAACAGGGCCGAGTGGGTAGAGTCTAGAGTTCAGTCCCCAGGACCCGCGTGACAGAAAAGCCAGCCCCAAGTCCCAGAAGTTATTCTCTAACCTCACACATGTGCTGTGGTGTATGTGTGCACACAAATTTTAAAATGCACTTTAAGACATGGGAGGCAGGGAAGATGCAGGAAGTACCTGAACGGGTTGGGTTTTGTCTTGGCACTGTGTAACAAAAACCAGAAAAAGAACTGTAACTTTTAAGTCCCCAAACAAACTCAAGAAAGGGAAGACACGACCTCAAGACAGTCAGCGTCTGTACCCATGCTCTTCAAGAACAAAGGGGTCCTTCTAAGGCTAAGAGCAGTATACACAATTCTCATAACCTCTGGTTGTGGTGGGACATCCCTAAGCCCATTACCCTGAGGCAGGAGGATGGAGGGCTTAAGGCTAGCCTGGGCTACATACAGAAACCCTGTGCTTAAAAAAAAAAAAAAAAAAAAACCAAAAACCTCCTGACTGGGGGTGGTGGTGCAGGCCTTTAGTCCAAGCACTGGGAAGCAGAGGCAGGTGGATCTCAAGTGAGTTCAAGGCTAGCCTGGTCTACAGAGTGAATTCCAAAACAGCCTAGGCTACACAGACAGACCTTGTCTTGAAAAATAGTCTCAACCCTCCCAACACATCATGAAAACAAGACGCTGCCTTCCCTTCTAACAGCTTGATTAGCCGGTCTCTCATCAGCATCAGCAGGGAGGCTGCTCACAAGCTCTCCATGCCGCCCATGCCTGTCCTGCCTAATTAACAGGCTCTCCAATCTCAGCCCCTCCCCTCAAGCCTCAAGGACCATTCTGATAGTCAATAGACATAACAAGGTGCCCAGGGGAGCTGCTCACCCCCAAGCAGGCAGTGGGGCTTCTCCTGGGGAAGGAAAACTAAAGCAGAGACTCAAACTCCGGCTCCCACTGCAGCCCAAGGCTTAGTCAGTGCCACCACGATTTCCCAGATTTCCCAGATTTGTCTTTCTAGGACACGTATCCTCCTGACATCACAAAACCAGTCAAGGCAGCTAAGGGACTGCCACCCGGTCCTGTCTTTGGATTTAGACCTTTTTGTATTTGGAGGATTAATGAAAAAGCTGGTCCCCTGGGACTAAAATCCCAGAGACTCTGTCCTTCTCCACCCTCAGACAAGGGTGACAGCCAAGGACCTGGGGTTTTCTGAAAATCGCTCCCATCTCCCAAGGAACACTAGCATTGAGAGAAAAGAGATGGCAATGCTCTTTGCCAAAGGATAGACTGAGGCGGCCCCAGAGCAGCCATGTAGACCACCACAGGAATAAAAGCCTCTCTGATCACATGCTGTTTGAACAAGGGCTTGAGGGAGCAAGATGCATGAACTTCTGAGGGAAGAAAAGCCATATTTATTTAATTTCTGGGGAGAGGAAGTGTAAGAAAAGTAAGGAAATGAACACACTACTGGGTGGGCTAGCACTAATTCTGTAAGGTTCAAAGTCAGCAGTCTGGTGGGGACTGGCAAAAGGGAGTTAGAACACCAGACAATGTTAGGTACATATACAAAACGCACATAGTCAGAAGCTTCCTTTAAAATGCATAGTACAGCATCAAAACCCAGGAGGCAGAAAATAACACAAGGCTCTGCTCACAGAAAGGGATTCATCACATCTACACACGTCCAGTGAGCCGGCTAAGGGCTTCCCTCGCTTCCTAACTTTAGGTACTGTCCAGGGCTAGAGGAGGAAAAGAAAGGCCTGTACAGGCCATTTCCCATGGATTCTCAGCAAGCCCCTCGGTCCTCTCAGATTTTGGACAGGGCTAGGGACAGTGCAAGACCTTGTCCATAGGGTAAGTGTTCCACCATTGAGCATTCTTTCTTACTTATTTTAATTTCTATGCATTGTTTTGTCTGCATCCGTGTGAAGGTGTTAGATCTCAGAGTTATCGATAGCTGTGTGTAAGGGGAGGCTCTGATACTAACATCCTGTTCCCTAATTGGTTCTTGATTTGTTAGTAAAGAAGGTTGGGGCGGGGAAGCAATTGCTGGCTAGAAGGTATGGGCGGGGGAGGAGAGAGGGCTTTTTTGCCATGCTTTGGAGGAAGAAGAACTCAACAATCATGTAAGGCCTGGGGACGAGAGCTAGGGCATGTGTCCTCCGCTACAGGAGGGTAGCCAAGGACATTTGGCAGAGGCTAGGTGGGACTAGCCACTAAGTTTAAGGCAGGAGGAGAGATAGAGATAATAAATTGGTAAGGGCGCGCTTTTCCAGGTGGGAGATATCCGTGCCCAGCAACTGTGCCAAGGCGGCAAACTAAAATAACAAGCTGTGTGTGTGTCTTCATCTCAGATTCAAGGGTCTCGGGAGTGGGCTGGCAGCTCGGCCAATCCCAGGCAAAGGCAAAAGGTAAACAAAAGGGAAGCTGGGAGGGGCCAGAGCACAGTCTGATCCCGGGCAAAGGTGATAGGGATTTTAAAACTAAACACTACAGTTCTGTGAGGGGAAACTTCCAGTTCTTTGGAAAGTTAGTTATGCCGAATGATGCTGTGCTGGGACACACAGGTGAAAGGATGAAAGATTGCTGTTCTGAAGCAGACACAGGTGAAAAGATGTTTGGATGAAGCAGACAAGTGAAAGGATGCTGGATGAAGGAGTATAACTATGACCCCACAGACAGCGGGAGACGGCCACTGAGCCTCGGTTTGGTTTGCTGTGCTTCTCTATTCTTCGGTAAAGACACGCATGTACTGATGTGCCTTACATAATGTTGTTGAGTTCAACTTGTGATAACCCTGCCATTGAGAGAAACTCACCCAAGGACTGCTCGTGAGGTCTCTGCTGCAGTTTGCAGCTCCGGCAGTCTCGCCTCATGCCAGTTGGTAAGCCTGGCGGTTTCTTTAGGATGGAACTAGAGCTGCCAGGTGTTTGCTTGCAGGACAGACTGGACTGTAGCTGCTGAGCTGTATTTGGTGCTTGCTGTGGGACTGAACTGCTGTCAAAGATGGAGCTCGCCCTAAAGAACTACTGAGCAGGTCCACTCCCCACATCCTACTAACTTTTCTCTTCCACTACCTCTGCTGGGTGGTGGGCTAGAGGAGAAGTTGAAACTTTATTAAAAGTAGGTTGCAAAAACTTATGCCTACAGTTGTGAGCTGCCATGTGGGTGCTGGGAATTGAACCTGGGTCCTCCCGGGAGAAGCAGTCAGTGCTCTTAACCGCTAAGCCATCTTTCCAACCTTTTTTCTTACTTTCACAGTGCATGTCAAAACCACTGAACAGGGCCAGTGAGCTGGCTCAGTTAGTACAGACACTTGCTGCCAATTCTGAGGACTGATGGTTAGATCTGCTCCTAAGACTCACGGTAAAAAACAGCAGTAGAGAACTAACCTCTCTAGGTTGTCCTTTCTTCTCATGTGCATGACATGTGAAAATCCACCTCCAAAAAGTAAATAAATGTAAAAGAAAAAAAAACAAGTTTTTTTGTTTGTTTTCAAGACAAGAGTCTCACTATGTAGCCTTGGCTGGCTTGAAAACCGATACGTAGTCTAGGCTGGCCTCAAATTCTCAAGAGCGTTAGGATTAACAGTGTGTGTCATCATGCTTGGCATTTCTTGACTATCTGAGGCAAGTCTCAGTACTCTGCCCAGTCTGGCCTTCATCTGGGTCTGTACCCTAAGCAGACCTTGAACAAAACAGCAGAAATCAGTCCTTGATTATCTGTTACATGAAAAGCCAGCCACTCACATCAGGACATTTCCCAGAGGAAAATGGACACCTGAAGTGGTGCCGAGTCTTACCTGGGTATTGTCTGTATAATGAAAATATCTTGGCCACGAACAGACTCTTTGATTTCAACTCTTGTTTCTAAAGAAAAAAAAAAAGTGCTAAGTTTTAAGAAAACAGTTCATGCTGCAGTGAACACACAATAGCTGGGATAAATCTGGATCCAAACAGTCTCACCTGGTGTAACGTAACTAAAACACTGATACACACACAGAGTGGTCAGGCTGGGGTAAAAGACAAAACCAACAAAAGTGTCAAAAATTTCCAAAAGCTGTCAGCAAAATGAAGACATTTACAGACAGGGAAGACAGGGTCTGTGGCAAAGAGAACTTGTGAGGCAGGGTCCTGCTATGTAAGCCTGGCTGACCTGTCTCTCCCCAGGTAACCCAGAATGGGTTCACACTCATGGTGATCTTCCTGCCTCAGCCTTCCAAGTGCCGAGATCTCAGGCATGATCTCTTCGATGTCTTTTTGCAACAGATAAAAGGAGCAGATGCCCTGCGGTAGGAGGCTTTTCCAGATCATGATGTGGTATTAGTAGGACAGGCAGGCACTTCAAGTGTTCAGGTGATAATTAGTTCTCCACACAACCTGGAGGGAGCCAAACTGGACCACTAACCCAGTATGACCACCTATGCGTTTGGATTTAAAAAAAGAAAAACACAAAAAGAACAATTGGAAGGGGACTTGTGTGAGTGTGTGCCTGCATGTGTCATTGTACGTCGAGTGTACACAGGTAAGCGTGCATGAGTCATTGCACGCCGAGTGTACACAGGTAGACATGCTGGTGTGGGTGCGTGTCTCAGTTTCACCTCGCGCTCTGAGACAGGTTCTCTCTCTCAGCCCATACTCCTTAGTGTTGGCAGGTGAGCCTCAGGGACACCGTGTATCTGCCCCTCCATCGCTGAGGTTATAGATACAGCAGTCACTGTGACTTCTCTGAGTTCACCAAACAGAACCCAAGAGGGCGTGTGTGTCCACATGGAAAAACAGGACAGAATCTAAACAAAGGGAAGGACGGAGGATGCACACCTCTAATGCTTGAAGAAAACATTTCTGTGTTAATACACACACACACACACACAAAACCTCGTATGTCAGCCCTCTAATTATATCCAGAGCGGCAGAAATGATGAGACTCTGCTTAAATAAAACAGAACCGACCCCAGAGGTTGTCCTCTGAGCTCTGCATGTGCGTGCACACCATGCACACCCACTGTACAAGTAAAACAGCAAAGCTAGAGTTCTATCTGCTTGTAAAAGAATGGCAGCCTCGGAGGCGCCACTGTACCATGTGGCTCTAAGGCGGGACAGGTTCTAACTTACAGTGGTATCTAAGGAAACAAAGCAAAAGCAAACCTACTGTGGTGGTACACACCTTTAGTCCCAGCACAGGGGAGGCAGAAGGCAGTTGGATCTCTGAGTTCGAGGCCAGCCTAGTCTACAGAGTTCCAGTAAAGTCAGGGCTACACCGAGTAGGCATGTCTCAATATACCAAAAAAGGCAAGCCATCAAGCCAGCACACTAATACAGGCCAACAATCCCAGGATGAGAGCAAGATGGCGGAGAGGGTGACCTGCGCTGAGTCTGACCCCCTGAAGCCCACAGGGTATTAGGAAGAACCAGCTCCCATGCGGTATTACTGCAGATGCAGAAGCAGGCTGATCAAGAGCTTGAGGCCTGGACGGATTATACAGTGAATGCCTATCTTTAACAAACAAACAAAAAAAGTAATAGAATAAGAAAATGGAGTCAGAAGCGGTGGGGCAGGCTTGTAATCCCAGCACCAGGGCAACAAAGCAGGAGGATTCAGAGCTCAGGCCAGCCTAGGCTACGAGATACTGCCGCAGCAGCAGCAGCAACAACAACAAATCCTAAATTTAAAAAAAAATCAACTTTTAACTTACCTCCATTGGTCTCCTGATATACAACAGACTTCCCCAATTCAGCACCAAGACGCCTATTACACAAACAAACAAACAAAAGGTGGTATGAGCATACAACTAATCATCCCAGCATTCTGGAAGCTGAGGTAGGAGGATTGCTCTAAGGTGAAGGCCAGTCTGGGCTACACAGCAGGCCAGCCAGGACTACACAGCAAGACCAAACTTCAAAAAAAAAAAAAAGTCATGGTGGTGCATGCCTTTTAATCCCAGCACTCCGGAGGCATAGGCAGGAGGATCTCAGTGAGGCTCTCCAGGTCTACAAAGCTTACTGAAAAATTAGCATAACAAGAAGGCAAAACCACCAATTCTTCAAGTGTCCTCCTCAGCTAGAACTCTCACTCTCTCAAGGCCAGGTGTGATAAGTCTGACCCAATATAAACAAGCTGAACTTTCATGTTTTAAGGGACCATCGGCCTAGACTAGAAAGACAAATAATCAGGGGCTAGAAATAGAAACCAGGGCTGGAGAGGCAGCTCAGAGGTTAAGAGCACTAGCTGGTCTTCCAAAGGTCCAGAGTTCAATTCCCAGCAACCACACAGTGGCTCACAACCATCTGTAACGGGATCTGATGCCCTCTTCTGGCCTTCAGGCATACATGCAGACCGAACATTGTATACATAATAAATATTTAAAAAAAAAGAAAGAAAAAAGAAACCAGACAGCAGAGCTGTTTGACTACACTCTTCTAAATCCACCTCAAAGTCCAACTGATAATAACAGAGGTGGAGCTAAGAACTTTTGAAATACGAAAATGACTTCAAATGTTCAAAGCCAAGCCATTTACGCAGGAGTCCTGGTGTGCACCTGGACTGCCGGCATCAGAAAGGCTAAGGCCAGAAAATCACACCATTTAGGGTCTGACCAGGGTCATAAGACTTTATCTCAGATAACCAAAGCTCATGATGGGTGTGGTGGCTCAGGACAGTGTTCCCGCGCGGAGGCAGGCAGATCTTTAAGAGTTTACGCCCAGTCTGCTTAGTAAGTTCCAGGCCAGCAGGGGCTACTGTAAAGCTCTGTCTTATAAAAGAGAGGTCAAATGTTGCTTCTTTTTTTTTTTTTTTACATATCACTAAAAAAATTATTTTATAAAGGGCCCTTAAGGCTCTTTATACCAGGGATCTAGTTTTCTCCAAAAGAGAAAAGGGGCCTTTTAGTAGTCGGGTATTATCAGCGGGGCACCGGGAGGCCGTGCTGTGGTCTGCAGGATCCATCTCCATTATCTCCACCAAGTTCAGGCCTACACTCCCATCCCTGTCCCATAGAACTACCCACATTTTACAAGTAAGGTTAAAAAAAAAAATCACGTCCGTCACCCAGCGACAGAGAGTCGGTAAAAACAGACAAGCCTGGGAAGACATCTCAGGGCCCCACGGTCCCCTGAAGTCAGTGGCTAACACAAATACACGCACACACCCCTAAGCAAAGTCTTCTTTGTACAACTGATCCTACATACTTGTAGTCATGGCTCTCCCCCGCCCAGCCCGAAGTACTTCTGAGTTCCCCTCTCCCAGACCGTCCCCCTCCTTCGGTCTGAGGACAGACCACATCGCCTGTCTCGTTAGGGACGGCTGGAAATGGCGATGGTCAGATACAGGGCAAGCGCAGGAAACCTCTCAAGGGTTAAGAGGCACGGCGGCCCTGGGACGGGGTTGGGGAGCCGGCCCGAAGCTTCAGCTCCCAGGTGCAAAGGTGGAGGTGGCAGGGCCACCCCGGGGACCACCCCGCTTACTCAGTGATGCGCTTGGCCAGCTCCGTGCAGGCGGCCGTGGAGTTGGCCGAGAACACTCGGTAGCCGGTGCGGGCGGCGTTCATGGCCGGCGAGGCGGCGGGCCGGGCCCGCGGGACGCGCAGAGCTGAGCACGCGGACAGCGGGGGCAGCAGCAGCAGCTTCCTGGGCATCCTCCGGCCCGAGGCGCGGCTACGGCGGTCCGCGCGGGGCCGGACGCGGGCGCAGCTGTGACGCCGACGGCGGCGACCCGCGGGGTCGCAGAGGGACGAGACGCGACACCGACGCGCCGCCTCCGCCTCCGGATCGCAAGCAACACTGCGCCGCAGCCGAGCGTCTCCGCCTCCTCAAGGCCCCGCACCAGGCCACGCCCCTCCGCGACACCGAGTCGTGCGGCTAGAGCGTCCGCCCCCGCCGCCATCTCGGAAAAGGGCAGGGAGGTGGGCATCGCCTGTTCCGACAGGTGTGCCACCGACTCGCGTGCTCGCTTGCTTTTGAGTCTCCCAGGACATGCATTTTTAAGTTCACTATCCTGGGAGGTGCAGCCACGCTTAGTAGTGCTTCTAGACGTTTTCAAATTTACTGCCAGAAGCTAAGATGTCCGCCCAGGGACCGGAGACGATCTAGCCTCGGGCCTCTATGATGAACAAGCTTCCAGCGCTCCCTCTACGCTTGCGCAGGCTGGAAATTATTTGAAAGGGGCTCGCCGGTCCCCTTGCGCTTGTTGCTGGCAGTTATACTAAAGTGCCCCAGACATGAAGACATGAAGGCCTCCCCTAGCCGTTATCCTGGTGTCTGCACGTGAGGCCAGGCTGCATTCCCGCCAGTTTTTTTTTTTTTTTTTTTTGGTTTTTCGAGACAGGGTTTCTCTGTGTAGCCCTGGCTGTCCTGGAACTCACTCTGTAGACCAGGCTGGCCTCGAACTCAGAAATCCGCCTGCCTCTGCCTCCCAAGTGCTGGGATTAAAGGTGTGCGCCACCACAGCCCGGCTTCCCGCCAGTTTTTGTTCTCAGTTCTCCATCACAGCGGCGCTCCGTCCACCCAGCCGCTCTGGCCGCAGGAGGATAGCTTGTGAAAATACAAATAGCGCGTGTTTTCATTTACCTTTGTGTAAAATAGGCCTGGCAGAAATGAAGCCGATCTCAAGAGACATTTGAATCTCTCGATCTCAGACTGTTCGAAAAACGGACCCCAAAGAAATAAGGATTTCTCCCCACCCCGGGACGTCATGCTGGGGGAAGGAAAAGGCACCAGCGTGATGGGGAACGTGTCTCCCAGAAACTGCTTTCACCCAGCTCCAACGACTTGCCAGACGACCTCACGGGCTGAGGCTGAAGCCCACACAAGGGAGGCTCAGTGGTGTGCAGGGCCGCGCCCTGAAAGGGACGGCGTAGGTGGGCAAATCCTCGGCCTTCTGCTTAAATTCTAATCTCACTTCTGGACCCAGAGGACAGACTTGTGGGGTTCTCTGGATTCTGTTGTTCCTCTTAGCGATGTGGCCTCGTTGAATAAATCTCCCTTTTTTTGCTTTCCGTTTTCAATTCGGCTTTTAATTTTCTTTAAATGCCTGTGAGTGTTGAGTGTGAGTGTTGGGTCTGTGTCTGTGCACCATGCATATGCAGTGCCCGCAAAGGCCAGAAGAGGGGGTCAGATTCTCTGGAACTGTAATTTGGAGTCAGTCGTGGTCTGATGCTGGGTACTGGGAACCGAACTTAGGTCCTGGGGGTTGGTGGGGGAGCAGCCAGTGCTCTTAACTTCTGAGTCATCCCTCCAGTCCCCAAGTTGGCAGTTTTAATTGACATATTGAGGAAGGTGGCCAGACCTTACTTGGGCACAGATTGTGACCTTCAAGGTTTATTACACTTGTTAACATGTCTCTCTCCAAATCAAGAATGTAAGCCCTAATCAGGGACCTCCAGTGGAGAAGGACGGATAAACTCTGGCCTCACCTCATAACCTGTTTTCTGTTAAGGTGCAGTACTAGTCCTTTTTCCCTTCCCATTCTTTAAATAAGGCATGGCATGGGCAATGCACCAGGTACCACAGCACAAGGGCAAAGCTCCAGTGTCTTGCAAGGATCACCGATTGCTGGTATATATCTTATGCAAGGAAGGGACTTACAAAACACATTCATGACCCTGGCAACCGGAATCGGGACTGTGTAGGAGGAGCTAAGGTGGGAGGAGTAAGGAGAGGAAGAGGAGGAGTTGGGAGAAGAAGAGGAAAAGGAAGAGGAGGAGCTAGAGAGGGCAGAGATGTAGGAGAATGGAGAACCACACAGGTATGGAGAGCACTCGTGGGGAACAATTTATAAACTTATAATTAGGTTAGCTAATTGGGATAAAACTCTCTTTGTATGGGCATCTTGTTATTAATCATTATCAAACATATAAAGCCTTTGATTAATCTATAAGGATTAGAGTCTCATTCTCTTACTGGGCCCACATGGATGATGGTCTGGGCAATGCCCTGCTTTGCAGAGACAGCGTGGAAGATTGGCAGAGCCATCTCTCACACTGGCATCTAGTGGGTGGCAGGGCTGGTGTTTCTGGCAGGCCGGTTCTAGCTGCAGCGCGCACGTGGTCTCAGGACGAGAAACATGGCAGCTGGGCTAGGCAGAGCCGCTGCAGCTTAGATAGTTGGATGAACCGGAGGCCAGTTTTAAATAATTACTACAACAGGACCGTGACCCTGGTCAACCAGTCTTGGAGTGTCTGCTCAATAAACTATCCCTGTGTGACCAAGATCAGTGTTTTGTGAGGCAATTCCTGGCCTCCAACATATTTGATCTCATGCTATGACACATACCTGAAGAAAATAAAAGGAGAAATTATGTATTTAAGTTCCTGGTGTTGCCAGTTTCAATCCAAAATTGACTTGATCCATTGCTTTGGGTCTGAGCCAAATTGGAATATCTTAATATTGGTGGTGCACGGTAAGGACTCGAAGTGAAAACTTAAGTTTTCCTTGGAAAGTCAGTCGTGTCGGATTGTGTTTCGCTGGGGAAGACATGTGAAGCAGTGTTTTCCTGAAGCGGACACTGAGAGATGTTTTGCTAAAGCAAACACGTGAAAGGACGTGTGATGAAGGATTCTTTACTAACAGTACGGATGATATTGGTTCGCCTTGCACTGTGTGTTCCTGAGCTCTGCTTGCTGTGACCCCATAGAGGGGAACTTACCAAAAAACTTGTGAGGTTCCTGCGGCTTCCATAGATGCAGGCCGATGGGCAGAGTGCTGTCAGCCGATATGACTCAGGTGGAGTTTTGCTAAGACAGGCAAGGCCTGCATGAGGACATGTGATGCTGGGAGGGAGTACACATAGGACCCAACGGACAGTGACAGGGCTTGCAGGGCTAGCTTTGCGACGCTTCCTGGCATCCCTGCTGGTCTTGGTTGCCCCTGCTGACTTGTGCCGATCCCGCAGAGGCCTGGCTGTTTCTTCTGGGTTGTGCCACTGCTGCTGATTCGCCTTGGCTCCCCTGACACTGCTGAACTGGACGGCTGGTATCCTGACACTTGGAGGTTGAGATCGCGCCAAAGAACTACTTCTAAACAGATTCGTTTCCCCTGTACCCTAATAACCTTTCTTTTCCACTACCTCAGGTGGGTGGTGGGCTGGAAAGGAGGCTAGAGCATTTAAGAGCCCTTATTAAAACCCTTATTAAAAGTAGGTTTTGCCGGGCGGTGGTGGCGCACGCCTTTAATCCCAGCACTTGGGAGGCAGAGGCAGGCGGATTTCTGAGTTCGAGGCCAGCCTGGTCTACAGAGTGAGTTCCAGGACAGCCAGGGCTTCACAGAGAAACCCTGTCTCGAAAAACAAAACAAAACAAAAAGTAGGTTTTGAAAAACAATCAAAACAACAAGGGGTTCTTTCAGTCTGTTCACCCATTCACAAGTCTCTGACTAGGGCTACCAAGAGCTCCTTTTAGAGCCATCCACGGTAATCACCCTTTGTCTCAGATCTCCAGCACTTACTGACTGGAGCATCCCATACTGATGGGAGTATCCCACACTGACTGGAGCATCCCATACTGATGGGAGTATCCCACACTGACTGGAGCATCCCATACTGATGGGAGTATCCCATGGGGACTCAAATCTGTGCTGCTGCTAACTGTGACACTTAAACAGGTGTGCAATCCAGTCTCCACACATCAACCAGCATAAACTCCACATATTCTGAACTCATCAGACACCCCCCCAGGCCCTCCCCCCCCAACTATGGCTCTCCATTGCTTTTGGAATAAAAACTAACTTTCCTACGGAAAACGCAAACCATTTGCCCTTACTCTCATGGCAAAATCTATATTCCGTGACCTCAAGAGATGTGGGTCTCTCAACTAACACGTAAGTAATTAGTTCTGTAGGTGACACCCACTCTGTGTCTTTTTTCTTCTTCTTTGAGGAGGGGGGGAGGGGAGTCAAGAGTGGCCTGTGTAACTGCGGATGGTCTTGAACTCTGATCTTCCTGCCTCCACATCCCAAGGGCTGCGATTACAGGCCTGCATCACCACACCCAGGTTATGCTAAGCTGAGGATTGACTCCAGGGCTTGTTGTATACCAAGCAAACACTACCAACGGAGCCAAGCCCCCTACCTCCCCACCCCACCCTCCTCTTACCTTGTTGTAATAAAGTAATTTGGAAACCGGAGTCTTATCAGAGAAGGCCAAGGATAAACTACAGCAGAAAGGCTGTAATACAGGAGAAGGCTTCAGAGCATGTCCCTGACATTTCTTTTCTTTGTCTTGGGGAACAGGGAAGTAGACGCCCAGGGATCCAGTGAGTAGATGCCTCATCATGTCAGCTCCTGACTGGAAAGTGTTCCTACCATCCTCCCTTTCCCTTCCACAAGGAGAAAGGGGAGACATGACCCAGATGACCCTCCTTGACATCCCATTTACAAAACTCCATCTTGATGCACAGTGGTGACACACTCCTTTAGTCCTGCCAGAGGCAGGAGGATCTCCGAGTTGGAGACCAGCCTACTCTACAGAACAAGTTCCAGGACAGCCAGTGTGGTACACACAGGAACCAAACAAACCAAAACACAAAACTCCATCCCAGGGTCAGCCTAGATTCAAAGGAGGAAATACCATCTCTGCGGCAGCTGCTCAGTTCCCCAGAAAAGAGAGTAGCTGATCACCCTGGGATGCCCCCTACTGGAGAGC